TATGATTGTGCAATTTAAGACCACAAAAATATTTAAAATAAGTCTAATGAATATTTGCAAATATTTTGTAAATATTATGTGCTGTCTGGGAGCTTGAACATCTTACAAATTATTCTGATAGTCCAACAAAATTATTTTCTAATTTGGCAAAATTTTTAGATACTTTAGCAAAACTGTTCTTTCCATGTAGTCTAGATTTTTTGCAAGAAAATCCTGCAGATTTGTTATCATTTTAAATGCTTTGAAAGAGAAGATAAGGGAAGATTATTATAAATATTTGCGCATAAAAGGACATGTATCATGAATTAGTTACAACGAAAGAAATAACACTACTTTCATCCAAAAAGATACTTAATAATCTAAATCCTCAGTATATCTTCTTAACAAAAATTAAATTGCAGATTTCCTTCCGTTCGCATTACGTTTCGTTAAATATACAACGGATAAAACGCGCACGACAGAACAGTACATCGATAAGAATAATGCTCGAGTCCCGAGGAACGTTCCTCTCTTCCATTACCTCCCATTTCTATTTCTTCCTCTTTCGAGAAACAATCCTAGCGCAAGAGCCCTTCGACTTCGCATTTTTCAATTATCGATCCACGTCCCTCGGACGCAGCACGTACGTTTTCGTTGCAATTCTCCCGTTGGTATTTTCTTCAGCGAAGTGTACGTGTGCACGTATACATTCTCAGTGTCAGTGTGGGGACAAGCGTGATTTAAGAAAGGGAGACGCGAGAAGGTTCGATAGGCTAGCGCGACTCGACTACGCGCGTCTCTTTCGATACAAGCGCGATGCTTTACAACGCCATTCGGCCATTCGGCGCACCGTAGACAAGGGATACCGAGGCCATTAGCAGTACTCGCAGTTCATTCACCCAAGACCTTGAGGATCCAAGCGTGCATATACCTTCGAAGGCAATCGCGCGTCGGGCAATTTATATCGAGTTACAGATATCTATCATTCATCGAGTAGCGAACTCGTTGACAAAAGACGATGCAGATCTATACTATTTACGAGCGAAAATCTCTCGCCCTTGTTGAGAAAATATTAGTAATATAAAGATAATAATACAGACGTACATATATAATAGAGAAATTATTGTATAAACGACAAATAGTTTGGACACAGAAGGGAATAACTTTTATTATACGATAAGTTGAATACTTAACTTCTCGGGTTTGTTAAATATGTGTGTCTGGATATGAAATGCATGAAAATTTATTGAGGAATTTACATCGAGTATGTGCAATACAATCTTTTTTTTTTTTTATATAAATGTTGACAAACGTGATCGACCGGCCTCTTTCCCAGGCTAAAGACTGCCAGTTTCGATCCGTTTTGTTAAGTCACGCGAACGACATGGTTCTCGAACTTGGAATAGTTCTTAGAGTATAATCTACGAAGATAATGTCACCGCGAAAGTGATCGAGAATGATGATAGTTTCGGTTGAGCGGTTTTCTCCGACTGCGAGCAGAAGATGGTCCTTCCTTTAACACTAACGAGCACAACAGGGATCAACTGTCTCTTTAAATTGATAAAATTCATAATTGACGAATTTTCCATTTGAAGATAATTTAACCTTCTTTAATAAAATATTCTCAAACGGAGATCGCGTATTTAAAATTCATCATAGATTTTATTTTGTAAATCCATGCATGCTCTTTAGAGTTATTATTTTACGTTTTGATACTTTGACCGGTAATTATTTATATGCGTGTTGAATGGTATGCCCGTAATTGGATACAGTTTTCTCGGCAATCAGTTGATGGGGATAATACGGCGAATAATAGGGTGAATAGTACGGTGCCGTGTAAGCTATCTCGCGACTGGCAATCGCGGGTATTGCAACGTGCGATTCGACGGCTGCGAGAGGTTTTGCCACTGCGATCAACGGACGCGCGTCGTGGATCACTTGGTGTCCGTGGGCCTCGATCGTCTTCTCGGCGACCAAGGAGGCCTTCGCCACCGGTTGCACAATCTCGGCGACTGGTTGCTGTACCAGAGCGACATCCGCGTATCTCAGCAGCGCGGGTGAAGCCGCGGCCACCAGCGCTGATGGATGCACCACGTTGCTGCCGTGTGCCTCGACGACCTTCTCAGAAACGAGCTTGCCAATAACAGGCGTGAGAATAGTTCCACATTGTACCGTGGCGATGCTTGCCAGGACGGAAATAACCACCTACGAAAGAGAACGTTTGCCGCGGATATGAAACCATCAGGTGATTTTCGAAAGAATAGGATGCCGGCGGTGTCAATATTTTCCAACCGTCTTTACATTCTCAGATAGTCTTTACATTATCAGTAGATCAGAAAATTGGACGTTTTGTTGTCAAAATGTGCTAGGAATAATGATTGTCAGTTCGATTTGCTTTAATTCGTTATTAATATTTATGTTTATATTAATACATTTATAAAATGTTAAAAATAATTATATATATATAGGTTGTTTTATGGGAAGTTGAAACTAATCAGCTGTCATTTTTAAATGCACACAGGAAATAGGAAAAAAATAAAATACATTTTTTAATAAGACATTTGGCAGTTTTATTTACATATAAAATAACAATAATTAGACGTATTTGTATCATTTAATAAATATTTATAAAAATGTCAAATATTATTGATCTCAATAACGTATGTATATTTTTGAAATACTAAATTCCTAATGAGTATATTTAAAAAAACTTTATTTGACATCTTTTTTGACAAAAAAAAAAAAGAAATAAGTACATGTATATCATTAAGAATTTAGCATTTCGGAAATATAAATTATTAAGATTAAGGCTTTGACACTTTTACAAACATTTGTTAAATGATACAAATCTTTCCAATCATTTTTACATTATTTCTCATTCCCTATATATGTATATGCGTTTAAAAATGATAGCTGATTAGTTTCAAGATAAGACACTCGTTAAATATATATACATATATAATTATTTTTAATTAATATCGACGATTGTCAATTGTTTTACTATTCAGAGGCAATAAATTTTCCGCCTTAATTGCTAAATAATGTTAAGAATCGTCGATCTTACCAGCCTAAACATGACGATGGATTTTTCACTACTTTTGGATCAGAACCTGGGACTGATCTGCACGCACGCGGATCTACGCATGCTTATATAGGAGAGTGCTTCCGTGATCTTCGAGAGACCTTCAAGGTCTATGCAATAAGAATTCAACGCCCTGCCAGTGTATAGGATGTGTCGAGAAATATTCAATGCGCCGAAGGCACGTTCTTCGTCTGAAAATATGTACGCGTGTAAAATACATTCTCGTGAACGTATTTCTTGTTCGCATAAAATATTAAGAATTATCGGGAGAGGCCAAGAGAGATATTCCCTTGAACCTTAAAAATTTTATTTTAAGACAACGTCTTTCATATTTTAAAGCTCTTCTTACCAACAAATAGGAATTATAATTAAAAATTAAAATATGTAATGTAAATATTAGAGAGAAATGACTCCAAAGTATTAAGATATGGTAATTATTAATCACGACACCAGAATTGTGAAATAGATTAGCGACGTTATGAAAATCGAGAGTGATGAAGGATATATGGATTACTTTTTTGTCAGCTGTTGGTTCTGGAAGCGTTAAGCTTTTTGTCATCGTCGTCGAGCTTGTGGGGTACACTTGACGATCGAACAAAGGGGCTTCGCGATCTTGAGACTTTACTTTTACTCCTCGCCTCTTGGTAACAATAAGCACATTACGCCATAGACGCAAGGAGAAGTGGTACTCCTCGGAGACGCAACAAAAAGCACTCGAACGTGAAATTACAGTCGAAAACGCGCTTAATCTTAATGATCTCATTTATCAATTTCTACTTCGTGTATGGCACTAAGGACGGCGATTTCGACAAAAGACAATGTGTCACGATTGAAAAAGCAAAACAATTAAAACAAAATTAAAATCAACCTTTTCTTTCTTAAGTCATTTTTATGAATCGTTTAAAGAACACCTAACTATATTCTGTCAAGACAAAATGAGCTTTTGTATAAAAAGTAATATTTAAATATTTGTCTCTCCTCAATCAAAACCTACATTCGTAAAGATATAATTTTCAATTCAAAATTATATTTTAGCATAAAATGCTTGGAGTTTTTTCTGGATTCGATTACATTCAATACGTATGCAGCGACGTATGTATAGACGGTATAGACACTCTATCTACAGTTTTCCTTCGCGAAACCGTAGGTGCGATATTGAATAATTCGCCAAACTTGCCCCTCCTTCTCACGGGGACTTTTTTAAAGCTCCCGTAAAGAATTTAGTAAGTTAGGTTCGTGAAAAGTGCATGGACGGGTTTGTATGTTCCCTATAAATATATTCAATACGTGACCCGACGGCGCGCGGTAAAGTTTCGCTTCGCGAGTGCGCCATGACGGAGGACGAGCGGGGTTCAAAGCCGAAACTCAAACAACCGTTGATCGCCAAGTCGGTAAACAGTTTTCATCGAGTCGTTCCAAATCCTATTTTGCGAAAAGCCTCACGTAAACGGATAGGTAGGACGCAACGTAGGTGGACGTACTCCATGCGGGCGTGGCGTTGTGTGCTGAAATAAAAGAAATTATAAGAACGAGATCACCCCGTGATCACGACGCTCCGTTGTTTGCCGATCGTCCGTGCGAGACGAAAACTCGGATTCTCCGAGACTGTGCGAGGAAAAATCTGCGATCCCCCCCCCCTGATAAGCTCCCAGTGGTACGTGATACGGAGGAATTAGTCCTTTAGGTACAGCGCCGTGAGAACGCAATGAAGTAGAATTCGATAACCGCTCGCAGTTCGACAATAACATGTGATATCGTTCGATGAGACTATTCTAAGACTATTCTAACGAAAAGCAAAGAAGAATTCGAGGAGAGATTACGAGGTAATATCCGAAATATAAAGATAAGCTCCGAAATAGCGAGCTCTGAGATAACGTCGATACGTTCTCTATATAACAAGTTGAAGGTATCAGTAAGGATTAAACACACATAGAGCACATTCATTTAAAGGCAGAAATGGCAACTTTATTGATTAATCGTAGCGATCGGTCGTTCGACCGTGTCAGGACAGGCTGATACAAGTTTAGACAAAGTGCCTGGTTGATCGATAATCTGGTCGATTCGGTCGGTCGTTTCGATGAATCGTCACGCGTCCAATTGGATGATGAAGGACGTCTTCATTGTCGGCTTGTGGATTGTGGGTCTTGAGAGATGGGCGAAAGATGGTTAATCGTATAGTGGCGATTCTCCCTTAATGAAGGGCGACGACGGGGTGGTGGGCGGCGTAGGCGAGCGGTGCGGCGTGGGCGACGGCGACGGCGGGGGCGGCAGCGACGACCGGCGCGGCGACTACTGGAGCAGTCTTCAAGATCGGCGCGGTGTAGGCGAGCGGAGCAGTGGCCACAAGCGGACTCTTCACAGACACCTTGTAGGTGTTGGCGTAGCTGGTGGCGACCGGGAGGGTATGGGCGACCGCTACCGGAGCCGCGACTACCGGCGCCGCGTGGAGGGCGGGCGACAAGTATCCGGGTGCACCCGCGACGCAGGCCACCAGGGCGAAGAGAGCGACGATCTTGTACATGCTGATTGAGATTGTTACTTCGTACTTCGGCAGAGCACTGAAGAGCGAATGATGCCTGAACACGGCATCTAGGACCCCTTATATTCGTCGGGGCTGACCTCTCCCACCTTTCACGGACCACCCGGTCCCGGCCACAGGTTCCTGTTGCCGCTTTCCTCACGTCGCTCTCGTACCGCCATTGCTCGTTTTTTTCTTGTCTTTTCTTTTTCTTTTTTTTTTTCTTTCGTTGCGCTGGCCACTTGTTGGAGGAGCACTGCCAAGGACTGCCTGATCGTTCGTGGCCTCAACGCAGACCCTTCACCGCCTCGTATCTCGCACAGATTTCGCTGGTACCCTCACGTGACGTAGCCTCGATGGTGGCGTACTTGTCCATCATCATCGTTTTGTTTCTTCGAGAAGGACGCGGGGAAATACTCGAAAGGACGACCATGATTGTTGGTGGCCTTATCTGCGGGCTCTCTTTGTTTGCGAATACATGATGCCTGGATGGAGAGGTTCAATGACATAGCCTCGACTATCGATCATCAAACTCTCGACAGTATGGTAGAATCCGGAACAATCATACGTAATTATCAAGCGATTTATTGCGTGTACATATTAGCTTTCGGACCGGCCGACAGGCCCAAAATACGAGTTGTTCGAATTGCCTCGGGCAATAATGGCGTTTGGAACAGCTTGTCACTTCCTCGATTAATTCTCGACGTATGGAGACGTGACAATAATAGCCGCTTAATTGATAACGTCGACTGTAGAACATACAGATAATTTTATTATGAAACTTCGCTTTCTTGCCATTGCAAGTCATCAGTTATATCTGAGACGCATCTCGTTAATAATATTTAAACAATTAAAGCAGCCTCGACAGCCGTTAGACCGGCGTGGTCTCAGTTAAAATCGTTAACCCGTTCGTGTAAAGGACGCTTCTAGGTTGTTTGCCCTGACTTTGGTCGTTTAGAAGGCAATGCTTCTCTTCCTCTTTGTACTTTACCCCATTTTAATGCTTATGAATTGCAACGATTTACGAGCCGGGTCGCCTTGCTTCTCTCGCGGGTTTCTCTCTCGGCGGTCGGGCGGTTTTGTTCCACGAAACACGCATACGTTGTTCTAACAAACTTATATGCACAACAGCTTGTATGCATAACTTTTTTTTCTCAAAGTTTTTTTTAAAACTCGTTCATCTAAAAAGTTTTTTTAAAAACTTCCAACTTCTGTGTCTGCAATCGTTTAAGAACAATCTGCGAAAGATTAACTTTTTTCTCGATTAAATAATTGAGAAGAAAGTTTTTCTCTAGTAATTTATTTGTTACTTAAATACATATTTCTATTAAGTTTATAGATTAATCTTTCTCTTATATACAAAATATTCGCTTTCAAAATCATCCTTTTGTAATTTCCTGAAAAAATTTCCTCGAAAATTTATTATTTTCACCTTTTAGATGTTTTTTCTTTCAACTTTTTCTTCTATATTTATACCTGACTTAATAAATGATCGAATTAATTATCGAATAACGCGGAGATCGAACGATAGTCACGCCTACGTACGCTGCCCAAAACTGATGGGTGGTGGGAAACCAGAATCGGTGGTGGGAGGCATTGTGACACGAGTCGCGAAAGTAGATGCTCGACTTACACAATTTCGCACGACGCATTTCGCATACAACGTGTCATATGGGCAAACGTATGTATGTGTTTGTTACGTGTCCTTATCTCTGTCCTGTGCGTTTGCTCCGTTCCTTGCGCAATCATGCATCAACAATGACAATGCGTGACAGCGCTCGCGCACTGACGAAAATCGCAACGATTTCGGTGACAACCGGTTAGACGTAACGTCGACTATCGACCGTACTTACTTTTCTACGCAATGGAGTATGCGTGTGGAATAAAATATACGTTATTTTACGCAAGATGCAACCATCATCCTCGTTTCGTACTTTCGTCGTTAATTGACAAATTATAACGAATATCGTTGTAGCATGTTAAAATTTCACGGATCGCTTTTCCGTGACTAAAATTTATAATGCATTCGTTTATATTAAATACTTGTGTATACGATATACAAGTATTTAATATATTATTAACTTGATGAATTGATAATCGTGGCATAGCGCATATTCGTTTCTGACGTTATGTAATTATTTACATGTGGTAGACCAATTGTTACAATTATAAATTTTACATTTGGTAGATTATTTTCCCTCGGAAAAGAGGGGAATTGGTATATATTGAACCGACCGTAATGTCGTTATACTATAATAATACGATGTGATTATTCAGTTTATCCATCATTAAAATATCGTCGAATGGCACACGTCCGGTTCGCGTTCGGTCCCTTCGCCTCTTATTCCCGTCTTATCCTCCGAAAGCGATCCAAATCTCTAGTACTGCGAAATCTTACCGAATCCGGAAGACCTTGGCAGGCACTTCTAGATCACAAGGATGGGAGCTATAGAAAACCAGTTTTCTGTTTCGCATAAGAGGGGTTTGGTCCTATAAAAAAGTGCCGCGGAACAGATTTCGGTATCAGAGTCGAGTAGTAAGAACTCGGACAATCTTCGCAAGAAAGTCTCAACAAGCTCGTCCTCCACTTGGTCATCATGTACAAGTGCACCGCTCTTCTCGCCCTGCTCGTCGCCTGCGTCGCCGCGGCGCCCGCTCCTGGCTACCTGGCGTCCGCAGTCGCACCCGCCGTCGCGTACTCGGCGCATCCTGCATCCGTCGTCCACGGCGTCCACGGCGTCCACGCGGCTGCCCCGCTCGCCTACGCCGCTCATGCAGCTCCAATCACCTACGCCGCGCACGCAGCCCCGCTGGCCTACTCCGCTCCGCTCGCCTACACCGCGCACAATGCGCACCTCGCCTACGCCGCACCTGCCGTCAGCTACATCCACTAATTTCCCTTGGATCATGATGTAAGAATACAGGTGTATCACTGCGCATAATGCCGATACTGGAAACGACCAATCAAATTTCGGTCCAAATGCTGCGTAATAACAGCAGTAACGTACTAGAACAGCCAATCAAATTCATATTCCTCCTGCGCATCCTCGGGACTGATACATCTTGTTTTTTTACATCAGGAGGTGGACCTGCAGGACGCACTTTCCTTGGGAGCACGACAAGGCCCAATCTTCTATTGCCCGAGTGACAATGTTGTCTGGATATTTTTTTTTCTCGACAGAGAGGAAAATAACACATATATAATTTTTATTATACTTAACACACATGCAGGGATAAAAATAAATTGATATTTCTCATTTAATTGTCGTTTGTTTTTATTGTGCGATGTCTGTACGTGGTACACCGCCGATCCTGCTGCGATAACAGCGGACGTTGACACGTTCGAAATGAGATATATATTTCGTCGAGTAGAAAGTAATCCTCTTCGAGTACTTAGGCTTCAAAGAGAATATTTTAATGACAGCTTGCGTCGAACGCGCAAAGCTAAATGCGTTCGTAAATAAATCAGGAGGCCTCTCGGCCGTTTTACGTAAATTAATATCGCCATTCGGCAGACCGCGCCAATCCAACGACAAGTGGATCTAAAGATTTTCGGAATATTTTCGGTACATTGTGTAAAGCGATGTTTGTTATATATCCTTTTTCGATGTATCTATATTATCATTAGTCGGCTACAATATAGAATGGACAAAAAATATTCGTACACTCAATTTTTCTCTGTGTATATTCTCATAGAAGAGACGAACGCTACTACAAAGTGTTTTGTTTAATGTATCAGTATAAATACAACGCAATTTAACAGAAACACTTTGCAAAAACTTTGTAATATTATTCCAGGAAAGAAGGAAAGAATACGCAAATACTTTTATCCGTCGTATCGCGTTTCCAAATATACTCAGCTAGATATTTGGTCGAAAATAAATTTAGTAAATAGATATTTGTGCGTTTCCTAGTGAAAAGATAGTTCACGCTCGTAAATTACGCATATCGAATTCGCGAGGTCGACGGGGCCGCGATATACCATCGCGCCGTAGAAAGTCGCGACCTTCCCGAGGCGAATCGCATAACTTTGCTATACGCAACAACGCCCATCATTCATAGGGACGTCGCTCAAAGCCGCCTGCTTTGCGTTCCCAAAATAAATCCGGCCACGGCACTTTATTATTACGCAACGTCGACAGCGCGCGCTCTTATTACAAGCTGTATACAAACTATGACCGACATAGTAATTGACAGAGCGTCTATATTCACGCTCACGCGATAGAATTGATATGGCTACGCGATGTTACGATGTTGCGTTGCGTTTATACTCGCTTTACAATAGGAGACGCGCGAGGCATTAATTATAACATACTGGTGCAATGTCGATGGAAAGATTGCGCTTGACGTTGCGGTAGACAATTACAATCTCTCAACAAGCAAATTTAGCGTTGGCGCATGTTTTAAAATGCATTTGAAATACTAGACGGAAAACCATGTAATATCTAAAAGTTATTCATTTATTTATTGTGATATATGTATACGTCTTCTTCATTGCGAAAACATAACCGCGAAGCGTCTCGGATTTTATCTCGCCCTTCTTTAATTATCCTCCACTGTTAGATGTCAAAAGAGCAATTTTTCTTAGTCAATTCTTTGAGTTAAATAACATTTTAACTTCTATGTGTTTATACTAAAATGTAAATCAATCCATTTCTGTGTTATTAGTTTTCAAATAAATAACAAATTCAAATATATACTTGGTAATCAATAAATTTAATACATTTTTTGAGATAAACTGTTTAACTCCATTGATTTTTAGGTAAATTAACGATGTATTGAATAGGAAAAATAGAAGCAGTGACGACCTAGAGAAATAATTGGAGCAGCTAAAATTGGGTATAATTTGACATTATAAATTTAATTTACAATCTCGTATTATTTGCAGCAATGCAAATCATTTTATTCGATTCTATGTATTTGCAGCAATTGCAGTTGTTTAATTAAGATTGATTAGTACCGCGATAAATAAGGAAATAGCGCGACTTCCGACCGGCTTTATATCACCGCCGACTCCGGAAAATGGAGCACGGTCACAATCGCGCATACTTTTGATTTTTCCACGGTCGCTACGGGTGGAAATCCATTTTCGTTTTCCGGAGCGTTTCACCTTGAAGATGACGTTGTTCGCACATGATATACGTGCATTTCTTGAGTTCTCTCGCCGACGCACGAAAACGAGTCATGCATGTGGGCATGGGCGGAGTCCGTGAGGCGACGACCCTGCTCCAATAAATCTGGAGCACGATTGCGTGCAACGATAAGTAAGAAAGTAAATAAATGAATGACCAACTCGTAACGTCGTAATATTTTGCCAATTTCGCCACCGTACTCTTGAGCATGACGAAGAATAAACGAAAAGCGCGCAGGCAGCGCACGTCGATTACAAGTTGCGCACGCAACTCACAATCAGTGCCCTTTTTACCGTACATTCTCCGACTAACTTCCATTAAGTCCATTTTCCACTCTGGAGAATATTAAAGTGTTAACAGTTTTCGAATAATCAGCGTGTAAAGAAACGAAACGTTTCTCGCAAATTGAGCGTCGAGGGGATAACAACAAAATCACGTTTTTCGATTAATTTTAAGTGGATTTCACTCAGATGGAATTTTAATTCAAGATTCAAGGCTCAAGTTATAAAAAAATGTAATATTAAAAAGGCAAATACGTGTGTAAATTTAACAAAAAAATGATTGACAGAGCGTTCAGTGATTCTGGGACGCTCGGCATTCGTGACATAAAAATTAAATTCGTGTGAAACGAGAACGCACATAATTTACTCAATATCTTCTTTATCAATCTACCTTGAACAGAACTGTTGACTTTAAAGAAATAGAATCGCTTTGCAAAACAGGTTGGGTGTGCGTGCATGTGTATCTATATTTGTACATCAATTTAATTAATCATCAACTTGCTTCCGTTAAGACTGAGAATGTCATCTTTGACATATTGAAATTGATAACGGTTTTTGTCAACAACAATTGAAATAAACTAAAAATTATCTTAATCAAGCGTCTAATTCAACTTATAAGATTACCGATTTCGAGTTCTTGATAGATTCGATTTTGATATTACTTGCTACATTAACTTAATAATTTTACCAACCTGTACAAATTTAGAGGACCACTTAAGAAACCTTTAGCAATCTACCGTATCGAGTAATAAGGCGCTTATCAAAACGTGCAATCAAATATTGAGGAGATAAGACGCGACTTTAACGAAGCGAGTACATGTATTACATAAAGCGCGCGTTATTATATAAAATCGAGAAATTGAAGTTACGCTAAAGTAAAAGGACCAAAACGGTCTGATCGGGATAAACAAAGTTTGCGGGTGCCTCGCCTTAGCCTTGATCTACTCTTAAACCTCGCTTCTTCATTGCGCTCGTACACATGCTGCTCAACACCTCCTTCTCACCTTGCGCAACGCTCTTACGCTCTGCTGGATGCACGAATGGATGGATGGATGGTCTAAGATTGAATGTATAAAAGCCTTTAACAACCGTGTCCCCGGTCAGACGTGACGGATCTTTGCGGGTGTAAGATACGCGATACGGACCGATACCGATCAGCGATGGTATGTCTCGAGAGGCCGGTGGAACGAGCTGTTGAAATCGCAGCAACCGCGAAATCGAAAATTAATAACGATAAGATAATGCGTAACGTCAAAAAATTTTTAGCATGTACGCATAATACCAAAGCTCATTTGAATAATTAGTCAGATGACGTAAAAATGTCTGAAAGATATTCTAAAATATTCCTTTTTAACAGTTCTTTACGCAACTAAAACTATAACAGCACATAGAAAAGCAGCAAGACGTAAGCAATAGCAAATCTAAAATGTTGATTCGCTTACTGCTTATATGTGTTACTGCTCAAGTTTTTTGTGTGCCACAGTCTTAAGGGATATCTAAGAGACTAAGACCCATTTCTACCAATGTAGGTTTACTTTAATCTTGGATTAATTTGCTCTATCTTTTTCTAATTCTTAAAACTAGAAGAAGATAAGAAGTAAGTTAAACCGAGATTAAAGTTAATCTATATTGTTAGAAATGGACGTAGGAAGATCTCTGGATATCTTTGCTCCGTCTTTAAGTATACTACAGCGATTCAGATCGCTGTTGAATATGCTATAAGAAATAGAGGCGACGTAAAGTATGAAAAAATATATATTATGAACATCAAGTACAAAGCCGATGACAATGTTTTTGGCAGTACGGTAGGCTGCGTCTCCAGCCATTTACAATGTAACTTGTCGAAGAAGGCATTTATTCCTCGAGACTTTGGTTCGATCCCACTCAGTGGTAGTATCCACCATATCCATAACCGTGACCATAGCCGAGTCCATAGCCATAGTTACCGTGACCATATCCACCATATCCACCGTATCCAAGACCATGACCATATCCACCATATCCAAGACCACTGTGAACGTATGTGACCGGCGGAATCGTGTATCCATAGTGGCCATAGCTTATTGATGGCGCGGAATAAGTTGGAGCGTAGGCTACCTTCGTGATAGGTGCGGCGTACGCCACTTTTGTGACGGTAGGTGCAATGTACTTAGTGATAGGTGGAGTTGCCGCGATCTGAAGACAGAACGAAAAAGAGAATTACATCTCGTCTGTTATTTTGTTTCACATAGCCCCATATATATAAATTAAAATTTCATTAAAAATTTTAATTCTCCCTTAAAATGTGCTCGGTAATTATTCCATTTTTTTTTCCTCATCCGAGAGCGTTATTTTACCGAAATAATAATGCAAAACCTTATTTCTACTGAATTCATTTTGCACGAGAGCTCGTTTATGGATTACAACGAGTGAAACCGGAATTTTCCTCCGGTCGCCCTGACCATACGAAGCTGCGCCGGTACGGTGATAATCCTTCCCTTCGCGTATCGTAGGGTTTAGTTACATGCCGAACCATTTGAGAGCTTACTTTACCTTGTACGTATTGGCGTAGCTGGTCGCAACTGGAGCGTGCACGTATGGTGAGATCGACGCCACTCCATGACCTAAGCCATAGCCACCATAACCGCCAGCGTAACCGCCGTAGCCGTAAAGTCCTCCATATCCAGAGTATAGGCCGTCGGCCGATACGTAGGCGACAGTGGCGAGAAGGACGATCTGCGGGAAAATATGCGTAGATATGCGTCAAGAATCTTTCTCGTGTTTAAACCTGCTTTTATATATATATAAATTGCAACGGAATTTGAAACGCGATAC